TTTCCTTAAAGTATAATATTAATTAAAGCATGCCCATGTTTGTAGACTTGGTATCCACCCTGTATTTTCAAGCATTTATCACCTGCTGACGAGGTGCTCAGATGTCTCAAACTTGGACTTCTCGGCAGAGGTTTTTAGATACTATAGTCACAGACTCTATTTAAGAGTTTCTGACTCAGTGGCTCTCAATGGGGATCTGAAAATAGGCACATTTCAAAAATCTTATTCCATTTGTGATTTTGAAGAGCAGCTATTTGTTGGAAACCACCACATCATGGACAAGTCAGTTCAGGTCAGTGAAAACTGAAAAAGTGTCATACAGGGACTTCAGCTAACTTCTTCTCAAATGTTGTTAACAGCCATCCCCACTCGTTGCAAATAAAATAGCATAATTTTATGGAAATTCAGTTTCAAGACAAGGTCCCTATCTTTCCCTTCCCAACCAGAATGCTTTTTAGTGAGTCATTCTGGAGTAGCCAGAAGAGATATAACCCATATTGTAGCATTCAAGGAACTTGCAGAATATATACAAGCCCAAACCAGGGGAGCATACATTAAGGACCAAACAAGCACTTTGGACATTAGCATTCATTCAGAAAAGGAACCAACCACTGTAGGCTGGTTGTTGGGAAAGGCCTCACAATGAAGTGACAGTGAAGAATGACTTAAATTGAATCATGCAAAAAGTTGAACCATGGGACATATTGTGATAGGAAAAGAGAATGATGGGCTGGGGGTGGGGGTCTATGGATAAAATTGGCTTTGCCATTCAATAGCTGGGTGCCTTTGAAAATAAAGATATGGAAAATATAAACAAAAATCTTACTCCCATTGTGATTTTGAAGAGTCTAGACAAAAGAAATCTAGCATGAGAATATTAATGATGAGAATATTAATGATTGGAAAAATATAATTTAAGGCAAAAAAAATAAGAATAAAAAGGTCCGGGTGAACTGACATATACCTATAATTCCATGTACTGAGGAAGCTGAAGTATGAGGATCACATAAGCATAGAAGTTTGGGACCAGCCTGGAAACATAGCAAGACCGTGTCTCTTAAAAAAAAAAGAAGAAGAAACAGGGATCAAACACTATGATAAGGAATGCTCAGTCCTTACTACACATCAGGAGAATATATCATCCTGTATTTGTGTGCTCTCAAAAAACAAAACAGTATAAACGGTAGTCCATGAATTGGGAGAATTAACACATTTCTATCAGATAATGATGGATCAGGCATTTAAAACATTAATAAGAATAAAAAGAAACTTACTGAACAATAATAAGGGGAATCTGAAGCACAGAGCAATAAAGTAATTCTCCCAGTGTCATGGAATAAGTGACAGATTTACACCCAAGAAATCTGTTTCTATTGTCAGCCCTCCACTAAAGTGGCATGTAGAAAGATACAGCTTTAAATTCATTTACATAAAAATGAAATATTAAAGATAAGCCAATTAGACCATCAATGTTTAATTCAAGAAGCTAAAGAAAGAATGAATTCAAAAAAAGAAGGAAAAGTTAAAATAACAATAGAAATACACAAGAACAAAAATTGACACTAAAAGAAGCTGGTATTTTGAAAACCTAATAAAACCTTAAAATATGCGAAGACTGTGGATGTAGATCAGTGGTAGAGCTCTTGCCTAGCATGCAGGAGGCCCTGCATCCCATGCCCAGCATCTCAAAGGCATGGGGAAGGGGTAAGTCAATGAGAGAGAAATTCACAGAGAACAAAAATATGAAACAGATGCATGAAGAAGTTGGCATAGCTAGAGAAAAATATTTTTAATATTATAAATGAATAGTATAAAATTTTTTTTGCCAATATATTTGGAAATTTAAAGGAACTATACTATTTTCTAGGAAAAAAACAAAAATTATCAGATTGTCAAGAAATAAAAAATCAAAACAACAATACTCAATAAAGAAATGAAGGTGGGTGAAGAATCTCCCAAATCTTCTTTCTACTTAAAAAGATAGAAAGTATAGACAATTTTTACAGTGTTTAGTAACAAATCATTAAAGAAATAATAATTCAAAGTTTTCAGAGACTTAAAGAACAAAGATAAAGTGAGAGAGGAGCAAAGCCAGGCGGCTTATTTTACAAAGTTTCAATTACCTTGATGCCACGAGGAGACAAAAGCAATACAAAAAAAGAGGATTAGTTATAGAAAACTGAATAATACAATATTAGTGAACAGGCCTAACATCTGGGTCCCATTGGAATCTGTTTGCCACATAGAAGTAGAAAAAAAGCAGAGGAATTTTAATTGTTGGGTCTTCCTCTCTGCCTCATTTTCCAGCTCATGAAGAATAGAGTCAGAGCTGTGTCTCAGCAGTAGCACACTTGCCTGGCATGTGTGAGGCACTGGATTCGATTCTCAGCACCACATGAAATAAATAAAGGTCTATCAACAACTAAAAAAAAAGAATAGAGTCATTCCCCCAAATGCAACTGTGGCCTGAGGAAAGAGTTTTCATGTCCCAGTGTCATTATCATTGAGATGTCACAGTTATTCTAGATTTTGGGTAGGATGGGACATATTCAACATGGTCATGAGTATGACCTCCTCGGCTTACCATATGGTCAATACCATACAGGTAATCGAATACTACTAGGTTATGAAAAGCCATAAGAATTTTATCAGGAACTCTTGGCTTCAATATCCATCTATAGCAAAACTTCAACTAGATTAGCTCCTGCTCTTGCTCAACAGAACTGCTCTTGGATTCAGTGACTTGTCCTTAGTTACATTCTTACTATTTCAGTTTTTATAGTCAGCAATTGGCTATAAAGGTACTTGCAGGTGTCAGTTGTTAGCATCTGTCTTTATTTTTAAATTAATTAACATTTTGTGTTCTTTATGCTATGATGAAAAAGGCCCTTTGTAACAGAGGACTGTACTTCATAAATTTTAATTCTTTCAACTTCTTAGTTAATACTCTGGTTGATAAACGTTTTAAGACCTCTCTTTATAGAATCTGTGTAATTATATAACTTTGCTGTTTGCACATGGAGGGTGATATTGAGTGTTCATCACTCAATTAAGGTTAATTCATTACTCAAAAAACGTTTTGTATTCAGAAGGGATTGAGTTCAAATCTTGGTTCCAAGAGCAAATGGTCTGGAAATAAGCATACCCAGTTGTTAATAGAAGTTATCTCTGAAGTGGGGCACTGGAGGAGGCTGGGGCACTCCACTTTTACTTTATTCTTCTCTGAATTATTTTCATTTGTCATAATGAGAATGTCCAAATTTTGTAAATTGAAAAGAAAAGCAGGGAAAGGAAGGAAAGATAAAAAGGACCAATTCTGTGATGTGTGTTAACCTTTTTGCCTCTCTATGCAGTCGTATCTGCTAGGGATTGGTTCCAGGACCCCCAGCAGATGCTCAAGTCTCTTATATAAAATGGCACAATATTTACATATAACTTATGCATACCCTCCCATGGAAGATTGCTTATGATGGCCTATTACAAGGTAAATGCTGTGTAAATAGTTGTTACACTGAATTGTTTAGGGTATAACGACCAGAAAATGTCTGTGTATGTTCATACTGACTCCGTTTTTTCAAACGTGTCTCATCCACTGTGGGTTGAATCCATGCATGCAGAACCTATAGATATGAAGAACCAACTGTATCACAATTTATTCCTCCTTAATATGGATAATTTTGAAGGATTGTTATGAAGATTAAATTAGACAGTGAATATAAGGTACTTAGTTCTTTGCCCAGTACAAATTTGGTATCCAATAAATGTTAGCTATTATTACTGAGCAATATGTTTAATTCAATATCTAGCATGTAGTAAGGGTTCAATAAATGGCAAGTAATCTTTAAAAGATGATAGGTATTCTTGATAACCTATATTTCTAAAATGTATTTTGCATATTCTTTTTATTTAAATTTTCTTTGTTTCTTTTTTCTTTTTTGCATTGAGTTTTTGCCTACAGAGATGTTTACATATGTGTTAAATGATCTAAGAATGTGTGTATTTGCTGCAAGTATTCACTGACTATAAGGACAGAATTTTGAAATACTATTCATGACCATTACTATTGAACAGTTTGAAGTAAAATATGATGCACTCACACAGGAGAATAAAATGAACACAATAAGCTAAATATTCTTTTCTGTAAACAGTTCCAAGTAAAGGAAAATTAAGAGGAAAAAATTAAAGTGTAGAATATTAGGTAGAATATGTCCTCATGTGGGGAAAACATATTTATGCTTGTACATGCATTTATTTTATACACCTATTTATTTTATATGTACATAGTCACATATGTTTGCATGTTTCTATGTATGTTTATATACTCTTATGGTTTATAGCTGGAATGTCCCTCGAGGACTCATATGTTGAAGGCTTGGTCCCCAATGCAGCAATGTTCAGAGATAGGGTTTTGGGGAAGTGATTGGATTATGAGCATTCTAAGATCATCAATGAATTAATCCATTGTTGGATTCATAGCCGAATGGACTATTGGAAGATGGTGGAAAACTGTAGGATGTAGAACCTAGTTGAAGGGAATGAGTTTTATGGTGCTTGCTCTTGGGGATTATATCATGTCCCTGCCCCTTTCTTTTTTTGTCTATGTCTGTTTCCTGGCTGTTATGAGGTGAACAGCTTTCCTCTACCATGCCCTTTCATCCTGATGTTTCTGCCTCACTACAGGCCTAAAAGCATTGGAGCCAGCTAACCTTGGACTAAAAGTTCTGAAATGATGTGCCAAAATAAATCTTTCCTCTTTTGAGTTGTTTTTTCCTCAGGTATTTGGTCACAGCTATGAAAAGCTGACCAACACACACACACACACAAAACACATACATGCATATTGATATGTGTATATATTTGTAAATACATAGAGTAGCCCTATTCTTTTTTTTTTTAAAGAGAGAGAGAGAGAGAGAGAGAGAGAGAGAGAGAGAGAGAGAGAGAGAGAGTTTAATATTTATTTTTTTCAGTTTTTCGGCGGACACAACATCTTTGTATGTGGTGCTGAGGATCGAACCCGGGCCGCACGCATGCCAGGGAGCGCACTACCGCTTGAGCCACATCCCCAGCCCGAGTAGACCTATTCAATGATAAGAATTGCTGAGAAAATTGCTGGCTTCAGAGAAGGTATTGAGTTATTGGGAGATGGGATGAGGTGAAGGAGACTCAGTTACCCTGGCATACAGTATTGTGGTTTTCATATTTTGTGCACTATACAAATATGACCTATTGAAAAAAACTGTAAGAATGAAGACTGTTTAGAATGTTGGAGAGCCCATCTTAAAACAACAGAAAGGAGTGAACATTTGTTAATAACATGAGTACAAACAGATGGAGAAAGAACTTGTACTGAACAATTCTCCAAATATAGAAATAATATGCTTTTTTTCTTCTTCTTCCTCTCCAAAGGCAGAATAACAGCAAGACAGGAAGCTGGAGAAAGTCAGATAAACATGGCATGCTGAAAAATTTGTTTCCAGATTAAATGTTAACTTTTTATGGAATGAAGATTATTGTTTGATCCATTTCTTCTTTTTAATGTGAAGTGACTAATTTTATGGTATGTTGTCTTAATCTGTTTTTTTTTTGTTGTTGTTGTTGTTGCTAATAAACATTATACTCAAGATTGGATAAAAATTATAAAGAGAAGAGATTATTTTGCTTACCAGTTCTGGTCCAAGGTGGAGGGACTGCATTTGATGGCAGCCTTCTTGGAGAGTCCAAGGTAGTGTGCATGGCATCACTAAAGAAGAATATGAGAGACCTAGCTGTTATGGTTTAGAAGGCGCCTTTTGCCCAAAAGCTTCTATGTTGATGCAGAAATTTCCAGAGATGAAATAATTGGATTATGAGCATTGTAACCTAATGGATTAATCCTAGTTCTAATTGACTGGGTGGAAACATAGGCAGGTGGGGTATGGATGGAGGAATTGGGTCACTGGGATCATGCTTTGGAAAGGTTCATTTCCCCCATGTCCCCTTCCTCTTCTTTCTCTCTGCTTACCAGCTAACATAAGCAAAACAACATTCCTCCATGATACCCTTCTACCACGATGTTCTGCCAGACCTTTGGCCCAGGGCAATAGACTCAGCCAACCTTGGACTAAACATACGAAACTTTGAGCCCCAAATAAACATCTCCTCCTCTAGGTTGTTCTTGTTGGATATGTTGGTCACAATGATACGAAACCAACTACCACACTAGCCAAACTGGATTTTACAGCGGACCTACTTTCAATATAATCCGAAACACAGTAATCCACCAGTTGAATGAATGGATTAATCTATTTGTGAAGGCAGAGCACTAACTCCTCTAACAGAGCTCACCCAGTCTCACCTCTTATTGTCTCATAGTGGGGATTCAATTTCAACATGAGTTTCAGAGGGGAAAAACTATATTCAATCATAGGGTATATTAATCATACTTTGATTTTTAAAATTAATTTCCAAGAAATTGAGAGTGATGATGTATTCATAACATGAAATACTACTTAGCAAGAAAAAGAAATTAAGTGTTGAGACTGGGGATGTAGTTCTGTGGTAGAGTGTGTACTTGGCATGTCTGAGGCCCTGGGTTCAATCCTGAGCATCAAAAAGAAAAGGAAAAAGAAAGCACTGAGGTACACAACAACTTGGATGAATCACAAAGGCATTATGCTAATTGAAAGAAGCTAGTCTCCAAAGATTACATGCTTTAAGATTCCATTTATATAATATTTTCAAAGAAAAAACTATAGTGAGGAAGAAAAGACAGTGGTTTTCAGAGACTAGGAGTGGGCTATTAGAAAGGGAGAATAAGGAAGTTTTTGAAAGGTGATAGAGTTGTTCTGTATCCTTTTCATGGTGGTAGTTACATGAACTTTTCATGTATTAAAATTAATAGAACTGTACATCAAAAAAATCAAATCTAGCCAGGTGTGATTGTACACATCTATAATCTACTGGGGAGGCTCAGGCAGGAGGATCACAAGTTTAAGACCAGCCTGGGCGATTTAGTGTGACTCTGTCTCAAAATTTAAAAGTGTGGGGTTGCAGGACTGGGGATGTGGCTCAAGCGGTAGCGCGCTCGCCTGGCATGCGTGCGGCCCGGGTTCGATCCTCAGCACCACATACAAACAAAGATGTTGTGTCTGCCGAAAACTAAAAAATAAATATTAAAATTCTCTCTCTCTGTCTTAAAAAAAAAAAAAAGTGTGGGGGTGCTGGTGCTGAGGATGTAGTCAGTAGTGAAACATTCCTGGATTCAATCCCCAGTACTGAAATTCATCTACTATATAATAATTTTAAATAAAATATTTTTAAAAGGTAAAAATAGCGAGGTGCAGGGGCACATGCCAATAATCTCAGTAACTTGGGGAGGCAAAGGCAGAAGGATCTCAAGTTCAAAACCAACCCTTAAGCAACCGAGTAAGTCTCTGTCCCAAAATTAAAAAAAATACAAAGGGCTAGGGATGTTGCTCAGGGGTTAAGCAGCCCTGGGTTAAATCCCTGGTCAAAAAAAAAAAAAAAAAAAAAGTTAAAAAATAAAACAAAATGGAGTCCACAATGTTACCATTTAAGTTTTTCTTCCAGATCAAGCAAGCATCAATCAGGTTTTGCTGCTTTGGCCATAACTCTGCCAATACAATAACAATCCTTCCCATACTTCTTTCGGAGAGAATGAGGAAGTAATTCCAGATCATCTGTACAGGAATATAGTGGTTACATACAGTAAGGGCCCTTTTGTGTAAAAGCACAAGCCAACTATACATTGTAGATTGTCATGACACACCCAGTCATGCTCTGTTTCAGTTCATTATCACATGCCCTATATGCTGGGATGAGGACATTTCAATGCAAGTGAAGAGCCAGGGATCCTAAGTCAGCATGAGATCTGGGAAGCAATTCCAATGCATGCTCCTTCCCGTGTGGCTTAGCAACTTCTTGTCTCTCCAGGGTAGAGAGGAAAGTCAAGTCAAACAGGCTTTCTGAGGACAAGTTGTAAAATAACAGAGGACACCTTTGTTCCTGGTAATGACACTAAATAAGTAATTGTTGGCTTGAAATATTACACATTCCCACTATCCTACACCTAAGCAGTCGTAAGTTAACTGTCTTATTGGAGATACAGAATGAAGCAAAACACCTACCTATCTTTCATTTAATTTTCACTGCTGGTATTTTTGAAAAGCCTGCTTATTTTATGCATTTGTCCTAGACTTTATTCCCAGTAACCCTAGGAAAAGCCATTTGTCATAAGGAAAGATGGGCTGATGGTTTGAATCCACCCATCCTGCAGAAAAGGTTGTGCAAGGTATTTGCTGGTTGGAAGGGAGAGCTCCAGAGCTAGAAGTCTTCAATTTGAATCCCAGTTCTAAAATACATCAGCTGTGTTACCTTAGGTAAATAACCAAATATTTCTGGCCCCAGTTCCCTGTCAGTTGTATGCATTAAAAGGAATTCATTGAACTGGTGATAACATTAAATCCAATAATTATATAATATAGCTCACATTAAGTCTGATGCTTAACACACATTCAGGAAATGGCAAATATTTTCATATGATAGGACATTAATGTCATTTTATTGTATAGGAACACAAGGAGGTGCAAGGGTCCATAATGGTTGTTTAAGTCCCCTTTGGTTTTCAGTTCCTCTATTCTGCCTTGGGTGACCTGAAACATATCTTTGGTAAAATCGTCCCATTCCCTTCAGTCCTTTGCTGACCTGCCAATCATCTGGTAAATGAATCGTCATGGAGATGTTAATGACTTTGACTCCTTTACTTAAAGACTGGTACTTACAGAAGTGTGTTTGGGGCTGGGGCCCCTGTGTGAGGTGGCCACCTTGCAGTAGGGAATGCTCAGGCAGGTTGTTGAAGCTGCCTGCTTGTGCTCCAGAGTCCTCATGCATAGGGAGGATGCCCACCTTTGTGATCCATTCCTTACCTCTGCATTCCCTCCCAGATCAGAGCGGAACATAATTCATTAAAGCTTTATAGGTATGGTGCCAATAAAGAACTTCAGGAGCCAGTCTTTTTCTGAAGAAGAATCATTCATTAGTAAAAATCTACTGTATGCTCTGGGAGCCTTTAGGTAACCATTGCTTTCATTGGTGTTTAATATTTATTGCTTCTTCATGATCTTCAAGTTGCTGTCTTGTAATTTTTAGGAAGACTGGGGAAAAGTCCTATGAATATTTATTCATTTTTTTGCCACATTATACATTTACTATCTGTTTTGAAAGTTTGAGTTTTGTGTTTCTTATATAAATTATGAATAAAAAAAAATAAAAATCATCACTGCTGCTTTCAGACCAGATATATTTTGTTGTGCAACAATGCATTATGTACAAGAACATCACAAAAGTTGTAAATGTTAATTCTAGAAGAGTTTGATGCAACACAATGATAACACAGTATTTAAAATGGAGCTTTGAGAGCTGAGGGTGTGCCTCAGTAGTAAGCACTTACGTAGTAGCATGTGCAAGGTCCTGGGTTCAATTCCACTGCCAAGGAAAAGAAAAAAATTGGAACTATGAATACATAAAAGAATCCATAAGTCCCCAGTATCTGTGAATACGTTATGTTGCATGGCAAGGGGAAATTAAGGTTGCAGATGGAATTAAGATCTCTCATGAGCTGACTTGAAGAAAAAGATATTATCGTGGATTATCTGGGTGCATCCAATATAATCACAAGCATTATTTAAATTAGAAGAAAGAGGAAGAGATTTGAAAATATTACTCTGCTGAATCTGAAGATGGAGGAAAGGGCCACGAGTCAAGGAATATAGAACTTGGAAAAGAAAATGGCAAGAAACCAGATTCTCCCCAGCCTCCAGAAGGGTTCTACTAACACCTTGATTTTTACCCCAGTGAGACCTAACTCAAACTTCTGATTCCCAGTACTGTAGGATAATAAATTTATGTTGCTATAAGTGACTATGTTTGTGCTAATTTGTTACAACAGTGATAGGAAATTAATACCTTACTATTGAGAACTTATGTCAGTAAAGATAATATAGATATGAAAAAACTTGTAATTGTAAACATAAGTAGCAAGTGCTCAGTAGACAAAGGTGGAAGAGTTTTCTACCCAGTAGAGTCCAGATGTTGCCTAGTGTTGGACTTTACATGGGAATTATAGCAAATTACATTATACATTGTCTAATATTTATAGCAACCCCATAAAGTAGTGACTGTTTCTGATTTATAGAGGAGGAAACACAAGTATCTCAGTTGTAGTGGACGTGCACAAGGTCCTTGGATTAGTCAAATACAGAGGAAACAGATTCAGTAAAGTTTCTCAAAACACTATAACTAGTTAATTGGCAAAACTAGAATTTGAAACATGCACTGACTATCTGTATCCATAACCCATATCCATATTTTCAGTTACTGAGAAATTTTTCTTCCCAAAGAGAACTGGGCATTCAGGGAAGGGAACAGTCAACTCTCATTAAGGGGTGTTAGGAAAGTTTCATGGGTGGAGCAAGAACTAAGCTGGATCTATACGCACAGTCAATTCT